GCAGACTAAACTCTGACTTTTTAAAAAAATAATTTTAACGAGCATTTACAGAGATGTTGGATTTCCATTCATTAATTGCTGCACTTCGCTCCTCTCTTTCAAAAGTAAAAGAAACACTCCTTCCCTGGTACACAATCCCCCCCGCACCCCTCCCACTGCCCCAAGTACATTCCACTATGCAACCTTAATTGTGGACTCCTGTGATAACCATAAGACCCTATCATACATCGCTTTTAAATTATTCACTCCCTCATCTGTTTCAGTGCAGTATACACAATTTATCCAGTTTTCCTCAGTCTTACCCCAACCCTGATATCAGTCCCATTTTTAAAAATATTTTAATTTATTTATTTTTCATTTCAATGAACATCTACAGAGATTTTGGAATTCCATTCATTCATTGTTGCACCCTTCTCCCCGACCACCCCACCTCACCTCACTCCCCTCCCCGTTTGCTCCTCTCCCTGAAAAGCAAAAGAAAAACTCCCTCATTGGTACACAATCCCCCCTGCACCTCCCCCAGTCCCACCCCCAACCCCAAATATAATCCACTCTGCAACCCTCATTGCGTACTCCTACGATAAACATAATGCCCTAAAATATAATACTTTTAAACTATTCTCTCCCCCATAGACTTCAATGCCATAGACATATTTCATCAGTCCCATTTTACAACAGTGGCACCATGCAATATTTGTCCTTTTGCATCTGAGATATTTCACTCAGCATAATGTCCTCCAGGCTCACCCATTTTGAATAATATTGCATGAGTTCCTTGTTTTTCAATGCAGTGTAGTATTTCATTGTGTGTATATACCACAGCTTCTCTATCCATTCGTTCGTTGATGGGCACCTGGGTTGTTTCCAACTCCTTGCTATTGTGAACAAAGCCGTGCTAAACATGGGTGTGCATATATCTGCTTGGCTGTCAGTTATGGTCTCTCTGGGATATATTCCCAGTAGTGGAATTGCTGGGTCAAATGGTATCTCTATTTGAAACATTTTGAGAAAGCGCCATACCGCCTTCCACAGTGGTTGCACCATTTTATACTCCCACCAACAGTGAATAAGGGTTCCAGTTTCTTTACAACCTCGCCAGGATTTGTTGCTTGCTGTTCTGTTAAATTTTGCTATTCTGACTGGGGTGAGATGATATCTCATAGTTGTTTTGATTTGCATCTCTCTTAGAGCTAGGGATCTTGAACATTTCTTCATGGAATGTCTTCTTTGGTGAAATGTCTGTTCATATCCTGTGCCCATTTTTCTATTGGATTATTCACCTTTACCTTGTTGTGGTGCTCAAGTATTTTATAAATTCTAGATATAAGTCCCTTATCTGACATGTCATTACCAAATACTTTTTCCCAGTCTGTGGCTTCCCTTTTTAGCCTGTTGGAGAAGTTTTTGGATGTGCATAGGAATTTGATTCTTAGAAGGTCCCATTCATCTATTTTATCTTCTCCTGGTTGTATAAACTCTGATTTTATGACTGCTGCTTAATGGCAAAAAGTGGGCAATATCTTCATGATTATGTCTCAGACAACCTACATGCTTTACCGTCCGCAGAGTAACAAGTTTATAGAGATGCTAAGTCAGTCTCCCCACTGTTACTCAGGACACAACGCTGACAGCTATAAAATGCTGTCTCCAACCACGTCTAGTTCTTCTGTTCCATCATGACAGGTGAGAAGATCAAAAAGAAAGAAAGTGACCCAGAGAAGAAAGATCAGCAGAGACAAATGTCAGAAAATGCTGGTGGAGTTTGCATTTGTCTATCTTTCTCATTACGGCCCAACTGAACCTCCCTCACAGCCTCCCCCTCAGACCCTCCTCTGAATTTCTGAGGCTGTGAATCTCATGGGAGGAAATTGCCCATCCTTCTCCTGAGGAGCCAATGAGGAAATCAAAACACTAGAACCGAGGCCTCTGGGTTACCTACCGATTATACCGCAAGAGCTCCCTTCTGCATTATTAGAAAAAGTCAAACGGTCAGTGAAAACGGCATGATTCAGTCACACATCACAGCGGTTTAGGAAGACAATCTGAGATTCATTTTACAATAGCGGAAACTGAAATCTAGAGGAGTTACATGTCTTGAGTGGGGCCATGATACTAAGTAGAAAGCTTGATATTAAACTAAAGTGATTTCCCCCCACTTCCCCCCCCCCTTTTCACACAAAGGCTATTCAAAGCAAAAACCAAAAGTCTAAACCCACTGCTGCTGAGTCTGCTTCACGGCAACACTCCACCAGGTTTCTGAGGCTACAAGTCTCCGTGGGAGAAGATTGCATCATCATTCTCCTATCAAGCAGCTGGTGGATTTGAACTGCCAACTTTTCAGTAACAGCCCAACATGCAATACACTAAGCTACAGAGGCTTACAATAAATCATCTGTAAAAAAAGCCAGTTTTTAGCAAATTTTAATATTTAAGCTTCTTAAAAGAATTTGTTTAATTTAAAAAAAAAAAAAAACCAAAAAAACAGAGCATTTTGCCAAAGATACTATCAAAGAGGAAAATAGAGGTTTTCTGATGACTAAAGAGGCCCTATCCCCCAAAAGGGATATCAATTGCATTAAAAAATTGGCCCTCACATATATTATCAATGGGAATAGAAATAGATATAACCACCTGGGATCAAAGTTGGGCACTATTTAAGCAATTGTAAAATGTTTGTACTTGCTGATTTAGCAAATCATTGTAGATAATAATGCAAACATGATACAAGGATAGGAATCTCAGTATTATTTATAATATCGAAAAATCAGAAGCAACCTAATGAAACTGATTAAATAAAATCCACACAATGGACTACTATGCAACTATAGGAAGAGAATAAGATATATGCCATGATTTATTAATTTTACTTGGGTCTTCAGAGTCACACATGTATGAGTATTTATAGATATGCATACATCTACCATTATTCTTTACACATTTCCAAATATCTATGTAAGTATATCTGTACATGTTCAAACACATACTTTCAAAGAGAAAGAGGACGCATATATAGCCCGGCCTCGTCACTTAAAGTCTGCATAATTTGAGTATTTGCTTTTGTCACTTTATTACAGAATGTACACTAATAGTACTCATCTCACAGAATTAAAAAAAAAATATCACAAACAAACCCATAACCACCATTCTGTGAAAGCCATGATCTTTCTGAGTTTTCACTAGGCCTCTGAAAGTTGTGTAATGACCAAGGACAATAGAAGAAGAATCAATGCCTTTGAGTTGTGGTGCTGGAGGAGTGGACTGAATATTTCATAGAGTGCCAAGAGAACAAACAAGCATATCTTGGAGAAAATGTGACCAGGGTCCTCCTTGGAAGCAAGGATGGTGAAGGAATTTGCCTTACTCCTTTGGACAACCATGTGGAATCATGTTTGTTGCCTCAAAGAAAGTATGACAATAAAAAATATATTAGCTAAAAAAACCCCACCACCCCAAAACTCAAAAAATCCCATCTCACATAATTTGGGCATGTTGCTAGGAGGGGCCATTTCTCAGAGAAGCCCATCATGCTTGGAAAGGCGGAGCAGCAGCATAGGAGAGGTAAAATCAGAGATGAGATTCTTTGGGAAAACAAACAGGCTAAGTTGCTATACACAAGTAGTGTTGGTTTGCATAAGGACTAGGAGGTTCTGGATGATGCAAATAGGCCCATATAACTGGCTGCTATAACCAAAGGTTTGAGACCACCCAGAGGCCGCTCAAAAGAAATACATGAATATCTACCTACTTTAAAAAACCAACTGCTGAAAACTCTATGGACTTCAATTCTATGATGACAGGCATGGCAGTGACTCCATGGTAACGTAACCATTTATATATCAACTTTGCATTTGGTCACCCTATACAATCATCTAGTAAAGTGTATGTGAATTAGTAAGTTTTTCCTAGTTATGAAATGTTAGCTATGATTTTTGTTTCACATCTTACATCACTATTCAGTATATACGAGGTTCAGAGATGACATCAAGGGACAACACACTTAGGTGCCCTGATTTGAAGAGGAATTTTTTTTAAGTATTTCTCTCAAATGTATTAAGTGGTCTCTCTGTGGGTTCTGAAATATTCCCTGCTATTATTTCCTTTAATTTCTAGAGATATTTTTAAAAGATTAGCACTCAGTGTTGAAATATTTTTGTCATTTCTTGACACAGTAATGAATTTGTCATTTAACCTGAGGAGATGACATCAAATCTTAGAATTCCTGGGTCAACAGACAAAATAAAAAAGTCGTGGAGTGGCTCAGCTGAGAGTGAAATACCAAAACACAGCCTTGCTAGGATCTGATTCATTTGCGAGAAAGCTGAGGTCAACAAGGACAGGTAATGAGCTTATGTCATGGACTACCTCATCTGGAAAACTGTACACACTTCATACAGTACAAACCACCCTGAACTACAAAGAATCTGTCCAGAAACATGTCTCTCCTTATAAGCAGAGACCTCAAAGCCCAGAACTGTATCTTACGTATCCACATACCTGTTAAGCCTTCCACATTGTCTGGTGCTTGGTTTACTCCTGTTCCCTTCTCTACATACTATATTTAACATGTCCCTGAAATCAATGTTACTCATTATACATAGTCACATGTAACTAAGATCTATATGAGCCAACCTACATTCTTGACTTTTTCAGAGGACGAAAATCCCTTATTCTTCTACTCCCCTCACATGCTTCTAATGAGTAAATGCATGAGTAAATCACAAAATGCATGTCCAACTAAAAATCCACCCAAGGAATAAAGCATCTTCTATAAAGATTTAATTAGATTGTCAAGTTATACTGTTGTCCAAGGGTCTTCTGATCTCCATCCATACCCAAACAAATACAGCTATTCGTTTTGGCAAGCTATGAGGATAACAGCATGTTCTTGCTTCAATTGTGACCCATTCTTATTACCCTATTGGTACTTTTCTCTCAAAACCAAACTCATTCAAAGTAACAAATTTCGCTGTAAAGATAGAACCCTCAGGAGGGTCACTCACCTTTCTCATGGCTGCTTGGTGGAGGAGGCGGAGAGGTGATTGGTTTGGATTTGTCGTAGTTGTTAAAGCTCTGGCTGCGTCGGTTGTTAGCAGTGGAGACCCCAGTGCCACGTGTTTTGGCCTCACTGCCTGTAGCTGATACCCTCGCAGTAGGACCTGGAAGTCTAAAATACATAAGCAACAGGATAATAAAGTCAGTCATGGGAGAACAGCAGTGTCTCAGAAGAAAGAACTGCAACCATGCAGGAAGTAAAAGAAAGCAGCTGAGATATAAGGTCTTAGAAGGCTCACCAGTCAAAGGCTTTGGTGGAACCACTACAAACACCTATCCTACTAATAATACCAGTAGAGTCCAACATCAATGTCAACAACTGTCCTTTGGGAAGAGAGAAATTTTTTTTATTATTAAATTTTATTAATTTTAATGAACATTTACAGAGATTTTGGGTTTTCATTCATTCATTGTTGCAAGGAGAGAAATTTTGGAAGGAAGATATGTGGATCTTTAACTAATTAAAACAACAAAGTTGCCCCCCGCCCCCCGGCTTGGTTAATTTTCAATAGACCCAGACATTATCTCCTCTAATTCTAACAAGTGGAAGGCATAAAGACCTGTTAAGACACTAAACTGTTTCGTGTGTGTGTGTGTGTATTCTGGGAAGTAGTGAAAATGGTATTTGCCATCATCCAGGAGATAAAAGGTATCAAGAAAAGGACATAATTTATAATGATCAGAAAAGGAACTGCTAGCACTCAGAATCCCACATCAGCAATGAAAACTTATGGCCTTTTGGAAACACTTGTCCAGACATATATATCCCTTCAACACCTGACACACTGTCTCTGCAGGCACCACGTTGAGGCTGAAGCCTGGCTTCTCTTCACAGTAGATGTATAAAATCACACATTCTTTCTGTAAAGCCAGCACAAATCTGTTAAAGACAAACATAAACTTTCCCCTTAAATAAAACACCTCATTTTGGGTGGTTTGGGAAATAAGTCACTAGGGTTTGGGTTTTTTTTTCTATGTGTCTAAAGATATTATGGCCCATTCCTCAGAGAGTTAAATGAGAATTTTAGTCCAGAGATTTACTAACGCAGGCTATTTCTAATAATTAAGGTTGACAGAAGAATGCATGATGAAATATTTAGTTCTTTCAGCTAAAAACTTATATAACTGTGTTTAAAAGCCAATGGAACTTCAGCAGAATATTATTATTAAATCTAGTGATATGTCTGAATTTTCAACTCATAAAGCTTTCAGCCTTCTCTTTCCAGGCAAATCTGTGGCACCAAAGAAGTCTGAAATCTGGAAGCATTTTAGATATAAGCAGGCAATCACTTTAAACTTTCTCTTGTTGGCTGAGCAAGAAAGATAGTTACAGAATAAACAGAGAACATGAGATGGTGTGAGAGAACTGTAAAATTTATATAGTTAAAAAGAAGCTGAGCCAGCTCCCTGACTAGGAGCTTGGAGAAAGGAAGGAGTTTCTCTCCTCCAACTAAGCAGGAACGATAAAGCAATGCTTCTTACCCCAAAGACAATTTTCCTCTTTGTTAATTTGTCACTGCTTGATCGAAGAGAATATTCACTTGACTGAAGAGAATAAAGACAAGCACAGAGTGAGATGCAAAACTAACAGTGCCAGTACCTGTGTTGGCAGACCAGATGCAGCCAGCACAACTGGTAGAGGAGATCTAGCAAAGGGATCTTAGTACTTGTTGGCTCTGCTTCCAATGCAAATCGAGTCCTACAAGCTCTCCAAGTCCGTGTTATCTGCATGCATATTTACATGCAGTGGTGGAGCTTCTACAGGGGTTTACCTGGGTGTTCTCTGAGTTGGACTTAATTAACCTAGTGGTAGCCTGCAGAAGGCTCTGTATCCACAAAAAGACCTGGATAAGGAGCACACACTTGTTTCAAGATGTTGTCACAGCAATGTCACAGTGGCTGGGTATAGCAGGTTACAGAATAAGAGGAGGATTTACAAAAAAGCATGGAATAAACACCACTCCCCCCCAAAAATTTCAAATCACAAAAAAGAGGAGAGGATTCATCCAGAGTTTCAAGGTCCTCAATAATCAGTGTAGTGAAATGGGAAGGATGTAGGCTTTACCCACATACCTGCCTCTAAGAGGAGAAGCCCAAAATGTCTCTGTGTCATTTACGATCCTTACCTATCACTGTGGGGAAAAAAGATAAAGAATCCAACAGGATAATTATCAATTTGAAATGAATTAGTGTTGTAAGTGAAACTTGCTATAGTTCATGACAGAAAACAAGAACAAAACCTAATGTCCTAAGCTGAGTCCCACTCCTAGTGATTCTATGGCCTAAGTTGAGTCCCCACTCATAGGGACTCTCCACTCACTAGTTTTCCAGAGTTGAAAGTCTTTATGGAGGAGACTGCTCATCTTCCTCCCACAGAGCAACTGGTGGATTCAAACAGCTGACCTTTTGGTGAGCAACTCAGTAATTCCTTCTACAGTAAGCTACTAGGGCTCCTTATAAGACCGAGGAGAACAAAAAGTAAAGGGAAGAAAATAAACCCATAGAGGTTAAGATATTAGACAAAAGTCAGATGCAAAACTACAAGAGTTTGAGACTAATAATACCAAAGAAGCAAGGTTCAGCAGGAAGGCCTAGCCGCTAACTAATGAGCTTCACAGAAGAAAAACCACCTCATCCAAGTGTCTGTGACTGACAGCCAGAGATCTTTCACTTGCAGTGGCTAGAAGCCATCTCTGAGCCCTATTCCTTGGAGAAAAATATTCCTGGTCCTGGGTTTACAGGAGAGTATTCTGGGTTTCTCATGGGAGGTTGCTTCAAAGTCCCTCTATTGAGCCCACTTAATAGGGAAAGCACAGTCTTCAGATGACGGTGATTACGTTTTCTGCGACACTGGAGGAGTTCTCAGAGTCATTAGGGCAGCTGATCGATGGTGAATGGGGAACGAATGTCACACACTTAACCATCAAAAGACACTTCAAAGCTGAAACCAGTTATCAGCTCCTTAATGCTTGCCACCAGTATACCTGATCGGGTCAAGTATCTCTACTTAACCAAATGTGGAAAATGAGTGAAGACTAAATAATTTCTTCCACATTTCGGATAAAATCTGTATTAACTCTGAGGTTTAAAACTGGGGTTCTGCTATAATTAGACTATGACCGATGTCAGTTGCTCGAAAGAAGTTAAGAGCAGAGCATGTACACAAGACGACATCCTGTTTCAACAGTGAGAACATGGCGTGAGAGCACTGTGTGTGCTGGACTTCAGGGCAGCCAGAGCGTAACAAAGTCGGAAGACCTTGCTTGTCCTACTACCAATCCTGGACTTGAGCCTGCCTTCTAGCAAGAAGCCATTAATTAGGCAAGCTGAGAGCAGAGCTGAATTTGAAAAGCAGACAGTATTCTGCTACCAGTGATACAGACCTGAGGCCTCTAGCTAACATTCTGAAGTTCATTATTGTTAACATCCCTAAGTATCATGGGAACTCCTATCAACCTCGAGCCTAGAAGCATCTGCTGTCTTTAGCATTAGAATCTCTATGTGCGGAAGAGCTGGGCCTTGCTCCTGCAGAAAAGCTACAAGGACCAGAGCAGATGCTGCCACGGAGCCTGCCTCACTGAAGAAAAGCAGCAAGAGGGGGTCACAGAACCTCAACCCTGCTTTGTTTAGGAGGCCTGAGGGTTCCAGCAGCTCCTTTCCAAGAGCAACTCAGCTTCTCGTGATCATTCCACATGCAAACAGTTACAAAAGGACAGAGGACACAGATGGGTTCTTTGTAGCATACACATGCTGTTGTTAAAAAATTAAGTTTAAGGAAAGTAATATGACAAGGAAGCAGAAGAACAACTCAGCTGTCACTCAAGTCATGGCTGATTTCTCCACTCCATGCAGAGCTGCTCAGGCAGAGCGGTCAAACTTCCAGCCCGTAACCTGCAATTTGCTCACTGGCTCCTTCACTCTGCATGCTGTACGTGCTGGAGAAGAGAAAGTCGTGTTTCCTCCAAAAGCCACTTCAAAGGCTGGGGGCAGAGATGGTTCATCCCAGGAAGGAAGGCAGCTTGTGTGCACATGCTCAGGCACTAGGGGTGGGAGTGTGGGGTGGTGGAGAAGGGTCCTAATTGGAGATGCTTTATGCCAGACAAGATGAGGAAATGCTATAATGTCTCTCATTTCTATGGTATCTGTTTTTCAGAAGCTGAACAGAGAAGACTGAACCCAAGATGACTATGGAGATCAGCCCTGTGGGACTTGCTAGAGGTGGGCTTGGCTGCATTTCCATCAACATCTCCATTTAAAACAGTAACAAACAAAAAAAAAACCAAACCCCCCCCCCACACACATTTCCATTTCTGCTATTAATGGTATGGCGTTTATTGCTGGATTCTGTGTGGACAGACTGGAAATGACATGAATCTTTTAACACTGTGATCAAGAATTACTCCTTTACCCATAAGGATAGTCAGGCTCTCAGAGCTAAAGAAATTTGGCTTCCACAGTGGTAAAGACAGACTTTTTCTAGAACTGCAAAACTGTATTCTCAGCCTTCTCTGCATCCCTTGAGTAGAATGAGCCTAAATATCTTGGAGGGGTGGCAAGAAGAGTGGTCGCCTGCTGAAATGGATGGAAATCCCTCACACCAGTGCCACGTTCTTTCATGACCCCTACACCACCACCACTCACACCCACCCAACCTGGATTCAGACCAGAGGCTTCCCCTGTGCTCAATATTCCTGGTACCAGTCATATGGTCTATGAATCACAATGGTTCAAGCTGTGTTCGCACTTGAACAATCAACCTAGTTCCAGAGCTCTGGGAGAGTGTCGTACTCAGCCAAGAAGGGCGGGGATGTTTCTTTTGGCAAATAAACTCTATCAGTTACAGTGGTGCCTGATCAGCCAAAATTCTTATCATGAATGTGTTTTTGGGGGTGAGAAGATAGGGAGGTAGAGGAAAGGTCAGGAGGATTAAGCAAATAAGGAAACAAAGAATATTCCTTAACTGGCTTCAAGAGAAATAAAAGGCATCCAAAAGAAACTGCAGGTAATTCCAAAGGAAGGTCAGACCTTGGCGTGTGAAGAGCTCGGAAGTCTGTGCCCAGCACAGCTCGGGGCGGAGAGACGCTCTCAGCTCTTCCTCTCCTCCTATCGCCT